TGTTGTTGTCTTATGCCTCCAGACAGACATTTTCATTTTGGCTGAGAATATCCAAATTTTACCATTACTCGGAGTTGGGGGAAAAGAACAGCTTCGGGATTGTGTAAGTTCGACAGGTAAAATGGTGTTTAGTTTAGCGCTTAAAGGGTGGGGGGCTTTAATTATGATGATTAGTTTGGTCGTCAATCGAGAAGGAAGATTACAAATGAAACAAATCAATAACGCTTAGGACTGAAATCCAACATATAATGAGCTGTTCAAAATTTGGCCAACATATAATATTATTAGTAGTTTATATAACACATTTTACTTAAATCCATATATACCTACAATATAAAAATGTATGGATAAATTGATCATAATTTCTTGCATATTTACTTTAAATTAAGACATTTTGTATTGACCATTTCCAATACAGAACAATTATAAATTCAAGTATGAATTCTAGTATTTTATTATACAATAAAAGTTCACATCAACTCGGTTGCTGGAATATTTTGAAGCCAAATCCATATAGTTTCGCCTTGGCAGCTTCCCCACAAATATTTACGGAAACTCTGAACTTGTCCATAGTTTATGAAGTGACTTATTCGGGCCATGAACCATAACTGGCCAACTTGTTGTCACCATTTTGCTGGCTAGTCTGAGTCCGTTTATCGGGAGAGGGGTTTGCAGGGGCTTGGGGGGTTTTAGGGGTTTTAGAGGTTTTAACGTTGCCACGAATTCAACGGAGACAACGTGCTCAAGACATTAGCGGGGATTCCCCTGGTGATGCCCCTCTCTAATGCTTTCCCACCAACGGAGGGCGTTTCTGTGACGGCATTTGCCATTTCCGCTTCCGCTGCACGTACGTGGCACTTGGTCTAACTACTTGCTACACAGATAGACCTTCGAGGTCACGCCCACACACACTCGAGAAAAAATTGAGTTCCTTGCAAGACAATCTCAAAAACTTTAGTTTGAGTTGTAACTTTAAAGATTAAAATTAATGGTGAAAGCCAAATTGATTAACACGTTAACAATAATTATACATTAGCTTTTTTGAAGTGAATTTTGATTTCATTTAATTATTGAAAATAAACATTATAAAAAAAAAAACAGTGAAATTCAAAATGACCTTTTAAAGTTCTTTAATATGTTTTAAATTTGCTTGTGTTTAATTAGTAAGAAAAACTTATCAATAAGCACGGAAAAATGTAAAAAGATAAACAAAAAGTAACAAAAAACACATAAATGCTATTGAAAAATAAAATTATTTACTTAGGTCTCTTTTAAATTGAAAATGTTAGAAAAACATTAAAATTATGCACTCTGAATAAGTTGATAAAAATTATATTATTTTTAAAATAAATTAATAAAAATACAGCTCTTCTTTTATATAATGGAATAATTTTGGATGATATTTTTTAGTTATTTTTTCTGTGGGTAGGATTGTTTGTTGTTGTTGTAGATGGTGTAGTTTTCATTGTTGTTGTCACCTCGTTTTAGGCCTGGCGCTTATTGTAGTTAAGTTTTATGCCGCCATTTTCTTCCGCTTTGCGTGTTGCACGTTCTTTTCCCCGCCGTGTGTGTGCGAGTGTGTGGGTCTGCGGATTTTTTTCTTCTGCTTTGCCACTTCCCTGATGTCTGTACTTCCCCCTTTCCACTTTCCCCTCTTCCCTTTTTTCATTACCACTTCCCTTTCACCCTCTTGCACTTAATTCCATTTTCACTTTCTTTAATGATGCTCAATTTTTTGCATCATTAATCTTTAGCGATTTTCAGCTTTGCCGCTGACTGACACGCCGTCTCAACGGGGTTTCTCTGCACTTTCCCATTTTTCACACCCAATTGCCACCCACAAGCACCTCCTTTTTACTGAGTGTCTCAGCTGCTGGCCCTAATAAGTATGCTACAAAATTTGTAATTACAATTTCAAGATAATTCGCTGTGAGTGCTGTGAAAATCTTCATAAATCGGCGTTTAGTGGTTTTATTAACTTGGGTTATCCCTTAAGGTTTTAAGAACAAAATGGAAAAGAAGAAAAGTAAAGCAGGTTTTACCAGCTTGAATTGGTATAGGTATAGGTATAGAAATAAATATTTAACATAAAATATATTTCTTATTTTTGTAGCTTTGCTAAATTTGTAGCCTTCAATAATGCATTTTATAAAAGGATAAATCATCTTAAAAGTACAAACTTTAAGGTGCAAATAATTCAATTTTACAGCCATTTAATAAATAAGCAGTGTTACCTTACAATTTATCATATTAATTACAAATCTATAGACAATAAATACCAAATCGTTTTAAATGTACGAAAATTGTATTGAATTCCAAGAAATTACCTCAACCACTTGTGTCTGTCACTTCCAATAAATCAATCGCTTAGAAATGTGGCAATTTTATTGAATTTTAAGCTGTTGGTATTTGTGTCAACTCATTCGAACCGGGTGAAAAATGGAGCCTAGGCAGGGCCTTGATTGATGAACCCATCGATTATTGAATGCCAACACTTCGAACTCGTCGATGGCGATTTTGGTGCGGTCATGGCTCGATGGACTGGAGTGCTAGTCGAAATTGATTTGATTGCCCCCCGTCTTGGTTTACTATTTGGTCGCACAATTCCGGGATCAGTAACTCCCCCTTTCCTTATCCAAGAACTTGCATTGTTGTTTTTGATTTCATACAATATTTCCACTTCGCTCTCGTGCTGTTCGCTCTTTTTGGCTCGCCCGTTTTCTTTTAACAACTTTTTGCTGCTGTTTTTATTTGAAGTTTGCAATAAAATAAAAGCCACATGGAGCTGGGGGGATTAGTGGGGCGGTAAGGGAGAAGGGGGGAGGGGGGAGGGCATGGTCAGAGGCAGGGGAGCAGAGAGAGCTTGGCCCGAATGGCCAGTGCCCTCGGCCACAGACACGGAACGCGCAACTATAAAGCAAAAAACCTCATTCATATAATTTATGTGTGGCTCCCCAGGGATGGTAGCGTGACACATGCGATAGGATGCGATAGGTTATGCCTGAACCTCAAACAAAATCAAACACAATAAAAAAACTTTAAATTTTTCTAAGCACTTAGTTTCGGACTTACGATTCCCATGCTATATTTCAAAAATTCTTGCAAGTATTATACTTTAGCAAAGGTTATGTTATTTAGATAAACTATTTGCCTTACCGATTATTTCGAATGATTGCAAAAAATAAAATTAAATTAAATTTAAATTTTTAACTAAGAAAAATTTTGGCATTATTGAAAATAATATATTTTTAATTTCAATCCGCACACTAAAAGTCAAATCGACTAGTTGATAAGTCTTGCTTTTTTAAACCCAAAATCTTCGACTACGATTATTAAGCCGATAACTTAGCATTGAAAATTTTCTTTATGTTGTCACCGCTAGGCCATTCGCAATCCAAGCCAAAACGGCTCCTGGTTTTACTTATGCTGGTTGCATTTTATTTTACCATTTCGTTTCGTCCACGCTTGAATTTATGAATTTCGGCTCACTGCCATTCCTTGCCCCACCATGCCACGCCCCCTCTCCTGGCCCTCGCCCCCGTCATCTGGCGCATCCATTGTTGGCCCCGCACATATGCGGTTTTATATATTGACACTTAAAATTTATGGGACTTAAAAATCTACAAAACGCTGCCACGTTTTGTCCTGCAAAGTTGGTTTAGAGCTCTGGGTTTCAGTTTCAGCGGGATGACAAAGGGGGCCAGGGTTGCTCTCTGTGGGTTGGTTGGGTTGGTTGGGTTGGTGGGTTGACACAAGTCGGTGGTTTTTGCCCCTGACAAAAGCTCGGCGCGCCTTTTGTCCAAAAATTGGGGCGAAGAGGAGCTAAAATAGCAGTCAAGGCTGTGAGAAGTCAGTTGACAGGAGTGCGGAAAGTGCAAAAACTAAGCAGCAAATCGTGTGTGAAATTACCAGGCTTGCCGCAGCCAGGGTTGTCACCTCCGAAGAGGAAATGTATTTTCAACAAAAAAAAGAAAACCAGACTCTCCAATTGAAATGCCTCCAAATGTGCGGAAAAGTGTCAAAACATTTTTTTTTGTCCTTCGAATCCAAAAAGTGCTTCTAAAGGGTTTGCCTGCTCTCATTTGTGGGCAAAAAAAAGGAGTTTGAATAACTGGGTTGGAGAGATTTGACATTTTTTTGTAGAATTTGATTTTTGTAATTGGGTGGCCTTCCTTCTACTTAACAATGTCTTACTGTTTATAAAAATGTCCTATAAGTCACTTCCTCCTATGGTCAACCCAAAGATAAAGCTGTCAGATTTGTCTCAACAGATTTGCCAATTCAATTAAAGACCCGTTTTGAATAAGCATTGCCTGCTTATCAATTATCCTTTCCCCATTGCTAAAACTAAATCTTGCCAGACTGTTTCACATTCACTCAACTCGGTTGCCAACTAATTTTTAATGCAAGTTTCCTCGGAGCAAAGTCTCCTTTTCCCATTTCGTTTGGTTTTCTTTCTTGCTCTGCTAATTAAATAAAACTTAAAGTCTATCAAAAACAAATTAATCATTTAACAGCCGCAAATTGCCAGAAGTGCGGCTGCCAGAGAAGTGGTTACGTTGGTATGTGGGTGGTTCGTGGGGCTCGGGCGATTGCCTTTGGTGGTCCAACGCAACAAAAGAAGCCAAGCCAAAAAGCTGGAGGCACTTTCTATTTCATTTTCATTGCTGATTTCATTCAGTTAATCAGCTTATTGAACTTGAGGTTCACGGGCTGACTGGCTGGGGGCCAATCTTCTGGGAAAGCCGAGCTGGGAACACGAAAACTTGGCAATTGGGGATTTGGTTTTTAAGCAGTTGCAGCTGCTGCTGCTCTTGGTAGCGAACTGAAATCAAATTCTATTTGCCGATGGGCGACAGCTGTGGCAACTCTGGCCTGGCTCCAAAATTCAATTAATTACACAATGAGCTGGCGCTTTGTTTTTCCGCAACCGAAACCCTACTTGTCCTTTTAATAATTGTTATAAATTATGATTGCCTGTCGGTGTGATTAGCACTCACCTGAGTTGGCTGAGTGGACAGCAAGTCAAATTGCTCATCGTGTTGCTGTTGGTGGGCCAGTGTTGCCGTGGGTGTCAGATGTTGCTGCTGTTGCTGTTGCTGTTGCTGCTGCTGCTGCTGTTGCTGCTGCTGCTGGAACTGTTGCTGGTAGTGCTGCTGCTGCTGATATTCATATTGCTGTTGCATTTGATATTGCAATTGCTGGTACTTCAAGTGTTGCTGCTGTTGCGGTGGTTGTTGCTGCTGCTGTTGCTGCTGTTGTTGCTGTTGTCCATGCACCAGACAGCAGCAATAGAGAACGATTGCCAGCAATTGGATCGTATTGGCAACACTGCGTGCTGTTTTATTTATTGCTGACGACGGCATGTTGCCAGTCGTTTTCGCTCCCCTCCGTCTTTATAGTGGCGGATATATATATATATATATGTGTTTATATATATATATATATAGATATATCCGTATCCGTATCCTCGCTTCACACTATTCTATTTGTGCCAAGTATGCAACTGCCAAGTATGCCGCACTTTGGTTGCTGCTGAGTTTTCCTGTCTCTGGTTTCTGGTTTCTGGTTTCGGTGCTTCTCCTCCACCAGTTGCAAGTTTTTTTTGTCCTTCCCCACTGAAAGAAAAACATTTTTAAACGAGAAAGAAGAGCGCAAATAAGTTCAACTTGTTCTCAAGTGTCAGACACATATAGTGTGTGTATTGGATATAACGGAATACGGCAAATAGTTTGTTTATTGCTTGCCACACACCCATACATCTCTTATTTTGCCCAACTTTATGAAAGTAATTCCGAGTAGTGGGTGTACTTAAACAAATATAAATGGCATCCACTCAAGCGAAGCGTTTAAATTTGTGTTGCAAGTAATTAACATTTTGTGTGCTTCACATCACTGGTAAAATATATACATATATTAACTGAGACAAATAATTATAATTGGAAGCTTTTAAATATGCAATGCGATCAATTTAAAAATAGTACACTTTACCCAAATGCCAAACATATTAATATATTATTTATTTCTGACGTTCCCTAATTTTTAAACCTTCCCAAATTTATGGATTGAGGAAAATACGAAATATTATATACCGACTATTCAACTGAAAAGTGACAGATTGTTCTCCAATTTGGTAAACAAAAATTGTTGCTTGTGCAAGGTAATGGAATTTTTAAGCACCGAAATGGCCAGGAAAAAAAAAAACGAAGAAATGCAAGTGAAATGAGGGGTATGTTGAGGAATACTGGTATGTATCATTTTAATATTCCATGGAAATAATTGTGGCCACACAAATGGAAATGGCCGCTGTAAACGCACAACGAATATAATAAGGAAAACTGCAGCAATTAAAACAAAAGAAAATGGCAAATAATGAGTGCAATCGGCAAAATGTCTGCGTGTAAAAATCAAAAATATGATTTTCCATAATTAATGTACAAGCCAAACGAAACAAAACAATTTTCTTTCGACTTTTGAGTAGAAGAAACAGAAAGACGAAGAAGAAATCAATTTCACTTTTCAATTAAATGCCAAGGAAAAGCGGATGATGATGTTAATGACGGGGATGAGCCGCCGTTCCGTTTGGTGGGGGAATTTTTTAATATCTATGCAATAAAAGTTGCTGCGAAAATTGCACTTTGATGTGGCTAACGGCGGGGGCGGTGTTGAGTCGTGAGGCGTGGCAATAATGGCTGCAAAAGAGCCGGCAGCAATTACATGCCAGCTACCTCTCCATCTCCATCTCTCTCTCTCTCTCTCTTTCTCTATCTCTATCTCTTTCACTTCCACTCACTCGCTCCCCATCTCGCCTTTTCGATCTGGCGCCTCTTGAGCTGCATAATCATAAATTTTACTTGCGATAATTTCAACTGGCAGACAGAAAAAGAAGCAAATATACAGAGTTCAGCTGAAAAAATAAAGAGAATTTAATGCCTGATATGAACAAATACAAGCTAGGGATGGCAAAAGATTTTTATAATAATAATTTGATAAACAATTTTATCGATATTTAAAACAAGTATGCGCTTAATCGCTAACTAATTGCTAAAAATCTTTATGTAAATATAATAGAAACACTTTACAAATAACAAAATCTCTTGCCCCATTATTATTTTTGCTAACCATTTTTTCTATAAACAATCGAGTGCTATACTTGTATTTCTGTCTTTCTCATATAGACCTTTTCCCCTCGATATTTGTACAGACAGAGAGAATGCTGCTGAAAAAATAAGAACAATTTAATGCTGGATATGAATGAATGCAAAATGCATGTTTTACCACTCACATGCTGCGATTGGCAAAATAAATTTTATTTTACTGGCGAGGCCGCAAAAAAAATAAATCTCCACATTCGATTGCCAACAACTTTTGACTGCGTTAACAAACTTGTTTTTACTGCTGTTTCTGATGCCACAGTGAAGCTCCCCGGTATTTCACCCTCTTGTTTGGTGTCAATGATAGCGTGAATGATACTTTGTGTACACACTTCATTTGCACAAGTGTCCATTGGCCGCAGTGCAATAATCATTCGAGTTGACTGGCAGACGCGGCGTATACGCAACGTTCTGTTGAACCTTTTGCCACTTGCTCTATAAAGTGAACCAATAATCATCGTCATTATACCAATCAGCGGGTGAGTTGAGCCAGAGTTAACCTCCGTAAAAATAATGCAATTGTAAAAGGGCTTACGGGAAAGCCTGTGATATTCACTATGAAACTGAAACACTTAAAGGAACATACCTCAATGGCATACAACAAAAAAACTGCTTCGAAGGCATATGGCTAAAGGTTAATGGCTTTTGACATCGAGTGTTTTAATAAAGAAAGAAAGTTTTTAAAATAAGACTTTCACAGAGAAAAAAAAAGATAGAGCTGAAATTATATAAATGGATAAAGATTATAGTTTTTTTTACAGCGAAATATTATGAAAGGATTGGACCTGTTTAAATCAAAATAAAACAGATTATAAATTCAAATTGGATAAAAATTTATGATTTTATATGTTATCTTCTTTGTAATCGTGTTCAGCAAATTTTAAAATTTAAATTTGAAAGAATTCTGTCAGAAAAACAATGTAAGTCCCTTTTTAAGTCTCCCATCCTTGCAATATGTACAACTTTTTTTTTCTTTGCGTTTATTGCCACAATCGTAAAATTGATAAACAATAAATGGGGGCCAACATTTGTTTCGCCCACTGCACACCCAAGAATTACGTAATGTCCCCATAACATTCTCCTCATAAAGTATTTTAATGGGACACAAAACTCAAAATCCGATGGGGTCGACTGGCATTTTATGCCCCTACCAAGAACCAGTGGAGATTTCGCCGCTGCTGCCCACAAGAATCGAGCAAAAAATTGCAAGCGAAGTGTAAAATTTATGATAAAAACGTGCGACGCTGATAAGAATGCCCTGGACAAACGGAAGTAGCTGCAGGAACGAACCGGAAGTGGGCGGAATGGGTGAAGAGGGGGCGTGGAAGCAGGCTGGGCAAATGAACGGAACTCAAAACCAGACAAACGGGGCGTGGCACCTTGTTGCTCGTTAGAGCAATAGTTGCACACTTCTCTCCCTGCTTTTCTGCTTTTTTTTTCTAACTTTTCCCGGTTAGATTTACGCCTATGATACAAAAAGGAGTAAAACAAATAACTCTTACATTTTTTAGAAACCATAAATATATATAAAAATTCTTTAAAAATAAGCGTTTTATAATTTTCCCTACGTTTTTTTCCATTTTACAAAGTTTTCTTATCAGACTCGGACTTAAACTATTCAAAAGTGTTTACCAAAATCTATTATCCTTGGTATTTTCACCTTTTAAGTTACATCTTTGAACATTAGAAAATATTGTTACCTAAATATTACCTTAAACTTTTTCTATTTCAATATATATTTTGTATCTGAGTCTGATGAATATTTAAATTATTAATGGATTAGTCATCATTAAAGTTGTGCAAAAATCCTTTGAGAGATCGCAATTCCAGTTCTTCCGGGCAATTAACCCAATCCAAAAGAACAAAGTGATGTTAAAGGGATGAATGACTGAAGGCAAAGGATAAAATCAAGGAAGAAGAAAGTCGCGACTTGGCCGTGTCAGGTGGCGCCAATTGGCCTTATCCATTGGTCAATGCAATCAGGCTCTTCGAGAGTAAAAGAGAATGCCGCTGAAAGGCAGAGAAAGGGGGAGAAAGGGGGAGAAAGGGGCTGGTGAAAAGTGGCTGGGGATGCGGTGAAAAGTGCTGCCGCTGCAACCGTGCGTCGATTCCGTGGGCCTTAGGCCACAGCAACTGCAGCATATTTTCCGCTCCCGATTCGAGGTGGACAGAGGGCAAAAAGCCGATGGCCCGGGGCCAGCTGCATTGCTGTTTTGATTAAAAGCATCCGGCCTTTGAGCTCCGCCAACAGAAGCAGTCGAAGGACTCCCATGCCGCTCCTGCTGCTCCTGCCCCCCCACTGTGTGTGTGTGTATGTGTGTGTGTGTGTCTAATTTGATTTGCATTCCAACAAATTTCGATCTCACACCGTTTCTGGCCTTTGGCTATTTGGCACGAAATGCGCCGAGCTTAACTCCTGGCCAACATTCAAATGATATCCTGCAGAGCACGTAGCTGCACGGTAAGTAATATCACATATCATATGTATATTTCTTTTTTCAATTTTTTTTTTATTTTCAAACTATAATATCCCTTTACCTTCTCTCTATCACAAAAAAAAAAAATGGTTGGTATTATTAACGTAATAATGGACTTAATAAATGTGTGAACACGTGTTCAAAAATTTATGAGTAATTATAGTTATTAAAAGTCCAATAGTAATTTGATATTTTATATAAGAAAAGGATCCACCATTATTCCTTGATTTTATTATTTCCTTTGTTTGCTATGATTTCAAACACTTTTTTGATAAAAGAAATTAATACTTAAATCTTATCTTAAATCTTATGCAAAGTGCAATTAATGTTTCTGTGTCTCATTTCAGAAGACTTGTTATTAAAAAATTTTAAGTATACAAATAGAAAGCAAAGCTTATTCTCTGTGTAGTCGGTGGAATACTCACTTGTGCACCAACTCATGGATTTGGATACTGGCCCGGAAACGGGTGAGCTACCAAACGGAGTTCACCTCAATCAGCGCGCATTTAACCTTTTGGCCAAGTGCCCAAATTGTGTCATCTTCGCCTTTTGTCTGGTTCCCATTTTTATAGAGTCAGACATTGCGTATACGCAACGTGTCATAATTTATGCATAAATGCGATTGCAGTCGGTTCGGCTTGGGAAAAATGCAATGTGAGTTATGGCTGTGATGCTGTGAGTTGCTTTGAGTTGTCTGGCTGGATGGCTAAAACGGGGCCAAAAGCAGGCCCAGAACCATTCAAAATGTTTGACAGCCAAGAGCCGATGGAAATTCCCAAAACTAATCAGCACGAAAAACGTGGCCCGCTGGCTTTCTCTTTCAGGGGTGTTACTTTTTAGCCCATCAGAAGGCGAATCATGGCTAGTTAAAGTCTGGCCCACTTGGGCTTGTCTTCTCTCGTCTGCTGCCGAGCATCAAACAATAACACGCATTTTCAATGGATCCTTGGTGTTGTAAACTTGTCCCATAAACAGTGGGCAAAATGG